AATAACTCTCTTAATTTAAAAAAAAAAAAAAATCGAAACTTGCAAACCCCTAAATCAAACCTGGGCCTAAAATACTTACACTTCATTTAAGATATTAAAAGGAAAAAACTTTGTACTTCAGTTTGAGTAATAAATTTACAATTTACAATTTACCAACCGGAAATTTAAAACTCTGATATCAGATCAAGAAAGATCATAAGGTTGTGCAACTTGATAATCCCGATAATGCAATTTTGGGTAGATGTTGCAATTCAATCTGTGTAACACTCACGGGAAAGTAAAAAGTAGTTGTTGAGGCCTATTCAACGAAATAAAAAAGAAAGATGCACTTCTTGAGGGAGTATGTGCAGGAAAATTGAGATCAATCATGTAAAAAAAATTGAAATTAAAGTTAATTTAAGGGAAATCGAATGCTGGAAATCAAGTTGCAAGATCGGGATTGTATTGAGTTACTTTGTTATTTGCTAGATCGATGGCCGATGGGGATGGGTGACGTTGCAATATCGAGGGATAGACCACGGCCACCGTCGCTGGATATGTGGCAATGGACGTCAACCGGCGTTGTGAGATCGATAGTATTAACGACACCCGGCGCTGTATGAGAATGATTGAAGCCGAGCGGAGCCGAGCCAAGAGTTAACCGGAGGAAGCCTGTACGACTTTGGTTTTTTCTTTTTTTTTTTTTGTTTTTTCCTCGCTTGAATAGTGAAAACGCAGTATCATCAAGGGAGAGGAAAAGGAGATCAAGCCCTCCTGTAATGAAAAATATTAGTGTGTTTAATTATAATTATTAAATATATAACATAGGTTAGACTTTAATTTTATTAAATTTATAAAATTTTGACATTTAATAATAATTTTTAAATTTAACAAAGTTACACTATACGTTTATATTTCATATATTTAATAATAATTATTTAAAATCAATTATTTATTTGTTTGAATGGAAGAAATTTAATTTTTTTAAATAAAATTTTAAATTCGAGTTATGTGAATAAAAAAATAAATACAAGAAAAGTTTTCTTTTGATGGGGTCGAATGCAATTCGATTTCAGATTAATAAGATTCAATATGATTACGGGATATCAAAAAATTAATAAAAAAAAATAGATGTTTAATAATTTTAATTAGGCGTTGACATTTTTAATTTTAAAATGTAATGATTTTTCATTTTCCGATAGATAGTTACCTTAATTTAAGGAATGGAATTCATGTTTTCTTGATCTTGTATTGTTTATTAAAATATGTTTTATAGTATAAATTTAATAAATTTTTTTTAACAAAATAATATAAAAAATAATTTTATTAAAATAATTTTAATAAATTCATAAAATAACTATATTTTTAATGTTTATACCATAAGTAGAACAAAGCCCCTTGCCTTTCGATCATATACACTTTTTTTTTTTTTTTCTGTTGAGTACATCTAATAATGATAGGTTTGATAAGAGGAAATAAATTTCTCCTTTTCCTAAATCCCTTCTCATTTGATTCAAAATTCCAATTGAAAATATTCAACTTAGATTTTTAAACTCTTAACCATTAAATCATTTGTTAAGATGCAATCTTATATATCTTAGACTTGAGAGATGTGGAGCTTTGGAGTCATTACCCAATGCAATGACGATGAGGATGGATGGAAGTAGTAGCAGCAACACTAGTATGTTGATGTCGAGATCGAAAAAGTTGGAAATTTGCGGTTGTATTCTCTCGAGTCTTTTCCACATCGCAAATTACACATCTCACTTAAATACTTGAGAATAGCAGGCTGTAAAGGTTTGGGGTCTCTATCGGATGCAAATGGTGACAATAATCGCAATCTACATCTAGAAATAAGAAATGTTCCATGTTGGTATTCTTCTGGGGGTTGTCATGAACTACCAACTTTTCTCAAGGAATTTGAAGTTAGTGGCCATGAGTGGTTGGAATCCTTCTAGATAAGGAGAAATTCTGTTGTATCTTTAGGATACCATTGATGTGATATCTCGAATCAATCAACAAACACTATCTCAGTTTTTTGTTATCATCTCCCTTAGGTGATTGATGAGATGTAAACCACACTTTGAGGCGAAAGGGGACTACTAGACTTTCACTTAGAGCATCCTCTGCATTGAGATAGATCAACAAAGAGGTAATAAGTAATAAAACCTTAGAGTGAACTGAAACAAGCATCACCATTTTATGCTTCTCATATGAAAATTTAGAAAAATTGTAATAGATAACACTATTCTTTGGCTTTTGCTGCCTTTTCTTATACATGCATTGCAAATCCATTTTGTGCAACTAACTCATAGAGCTAGCTACAACTATTATTGAGGTAAATAAAGCCAAGTCACTCCTCATTGTTACTACTTCATTAAGTCCTTGGCTTGTAATTTGACCATGTCCATATAACGCTTTGACTTATGTTGCCTCTTCTTATATGCGTTGCAAATCCTTTTTGCAGGGTTTATTTTTCCCCAATTGTTGAGGTAAATAAAGCCAAGCCACCACTCAATGTTTCTAGTACTTCATTCATTCCTTGGATTCATTAGTTGTATATTATTACATGCTATTTATTATCCAGTTTAAATTTATTTTCCTCTAAAAACATGTATGCATTCACTTGCCTCAAAAATGGCTTATGCTTTCAGATTATTTGCCTCCCACACCTTCCCTTATTTGCCTCTATCCCATCTTCTTATTCATCTCACATTTCCCATAATTTCAGTAATTGCTTCCCTACAACTCTATAATGTCTTACTTAGTTCATGTCTTAAATCTTATAGCATCTGATTAAGCCCTTGACATTTTTCAAGTCAACTACAGGATTAGTGAAAAGGTAATTGACCCAAGATTCTAAGTTCGAGCCTCCTTGTTTAGGCGAGATCTTTCTTCAACATCTATGTGCTGAATGCTTTGACATTAATGTTGCCATTCATGTGGGAGATGATGCTTCCGGTATGATGAGTCAAAAATGAATGATCTAACAATGTGTGTTGTGTTCTCTCTTTATTCATTCTAAGTAATAGCCAAGATTATAGCACAAACACTGCTGCTTTAATTATCCACTTGGTAAAAATTAACCCGACCCATGAACCTGATCAAAATCTAACCCATCAAAACGAATTAGGATCTATATATGTTAACCCGTGACTCGTTGGCAACCCGTAAAATTGACCCGAACAGATCATGGGTCATCGACGGGTTAACCCGTTAACCCCTTCTAGGGAAAAAAAAATCTTACATATTATTTTTTAGAAACTTTTATTATTCATTAACAATTCATTTTCGGATTTTCCCCAAAATTCCTAATCCCTGGTTTCATGTTCATTACTCCAGCCACCAAGAGAACCACGCAAAACCCAACTCAGAAACTCTACATCTTCCAAACTTCCACTCATGATTCTCCCTCACTAATCTAATTCTAAATCAATTCAAACTCTACATCTTCCAACTCCCTTATCTAGTTCCAATATTCATTGCTCCATGTTTCGCATGACAAAGCCAAACCCTACATCTTTCTCTTCCCCTCTTGCTTCTGCAGTACCGGAGTCGGTTCACTTATCTAAATCAATTCGCCACCTATTTTCTTTAATTTCTTCTCTCCCTGTAAACATTATCACCTTCCTTGTTCTCTCAAACCACTTCCCTTTGCAATTGAGGTGTGGGTTTCAATCTTTTAAATATATGTTATTTTTTTTCTCATTATAGATTTTTTTATATCTAATTTTCATTTTAATAATGTTCAATAAGCTAAATTCTCCTTATAAGTCACTTTTTGTAATTGTTTTGAGATGTATTTTATGTTTGTGTTGAATCCTCAGTAAATTTCAATATCCCAAGTCTCAATTTTAATATCCCCAAAGTCCCAATTTCATGTTTCATGTATTATTTTTCTTTATTATTCACTCATGGTATTTGGGATTTTTTTTTTATCACTACCAAAATATGATTTTATCTTATATATTGCATGTG